AAAGAAAGAAAGGAAGGAAGAAAGAAAGAACGAACGAAAGAAAAAAAGAAAGAAAGATGGAGAGTGAGCAAGCAAGCAGAAATCTTACATGAAAAGAGACCTTCTCTGACTCTAGACCTTTGGAGCAGAGGCAGAAAATCCCAAGTAAAGCTGGACCTGATGATTCATACTGCTCAATATGGCCAGTATGAGACCAGAACCTGGGTTACAAAGCAAGATTGAGGCCAACTTGGGCTATAAATGTCAAAAGGGGAAGAGGAGAAGCTGACTTGCTAGAGTGCATGCCCATAAGCACAAGGCCCCTGAGTTCAAGTCCCAGTACCACAAACAACGATAACCACAATACCAGGTAGGAGCAGGTATGCATAGCAGTTCTTGATCTTTTCCAGAATAAGCCTGAATTAGCAATGCTATTACTTGTAGAAGGCAACAAAGATTCTGACAGGGAATATCTGTTCTAGCTTTAAAAAGATGTAGAATTTGTGAGGGGCAGGTATCAGTGGAAGGAATCCTCAGGCAGGTGGGGGAAATTGTGTCTATCTGGAGGCAGCGCTCAGTTTCTTGATTCTCTGCTTGCTTGCTTTCTTTCCTTCTTTCTTTCCTTCCTTCCCCACCCCTCTCTTTTTTCTTTCTTTCTAGTACTAAACTTGAACTCAAGGCCTTGGTAGTGTCTCTAGGTTTTTGTTTTTGTTTTCGGCCAGTACTGGGGCTTGAACTCAAGCCCTGAGCTCTGTCCCTGAGCCTTTCTGTGCTCAAGGCTAGTGCTCTACACCACTTCCAGCTTTTTCTGTTTTTGAGATACTTAGAAATCGAACCCAGGGCTTCATGCATGCTGGGCAAGCACTCAACCACTAAGCCACATTCCCAGCCCCTTTTTAGCTTTTTGACTCAAGGCTCATCCTCTTATCACATGAGTCATATCTCAACTTCCAGTTTTTTTTGTTTTTGCTGGTTCATTGGATAAGAATCACACAGAGTTCCTGCCCAGGCTGGCAGATTCTCTGATGTCAGCTTCCTGAGTAGCTAGGATTATAGACATGTGCCACTGGTATCTGGTGGTGCTTCTCTACTCTTTACAAATGCTGCTGTGTTTTTACACATGCCCATTGCCCCATGTGATACTAGTTATGCGCTCATTATCCTGACCTCACAGGATCTCCCAGTGATGGTTTTTTAGAAGGGTACATGTCTGTTCAGCTACCTTATGGCTTCATTTAATCATAATTACTTCCATAAAGGCCTTCTTTCCACACAGTGGATTAGAGTTGGAAGTCATAACCATTATTTCTGACTCATTGAATGCTTTTAAGAATTTGTACTTAAGAGTGTAAGAGAATTGCCCAGAGCTACATAGTTTGTGAGAGATTTAGGAACCAAAGAGTGTCATTCAATTTGATACTTGCAGGGTTGTTGGTGTGTGTGTGTGTGAGTGTGTGTGTGTGCCTGTACTGGTGCTTGGCAGCTGTCCCTTAGCTTTTTGTTCAAGGCTAGATAGATCTACCACTTGAGCCACAGATCCCCTTCTGGCTTTTTGGTGGTCACTGGGAGTAGGAGCTTCATAGACTGGTTATGGAACCATGATCCTCAGATCTCAGCCTCCCGAATAGCTAGGATTACAGATGTGAGATACTGGTACCTGACTTTATCTTCCTATCTGCCTATCTATCTATCTGCCTATCTATCTATCTATCTATCTATCTATCTATCTATCTATCTATCTATCTATCTATCTAGGTTGAGTAGTGATACAGCTTATTATTATCTTTTTTACTTATCTTTTCTGGTTGGTGTGGATAATTCCCATTAATTATTCATCTTCATGTTTATTGGTGGGGATGTATGTCTTCATTTTCTTGGGTTAATACCACAGAATAAGTAGAATCCCTGAGTCTCACAAAAAAGTATATCATGAGAAACTGCCAAATTGACTTTCAAAGTGGCTGTGTCATTTTGCATTCACTCTTCTGCTCTGTGCCTTTATTATTTATTGTACTTAGGGGGCATCAAGCCAGTGTAGGCCACCAGTACCTGGCTTAGTTCATATTCTTATAGTTTTGTTTGTTTTTGTTTTGGGTCTGGTCGTGGGGCCTGAACTCTGGGCCTGGGCGCTGTCCCTCACCTCTTCAGCTCAAGGCTAGAGCTCTACCACTTGAGCCACAGCACCACTTCCGACGTTTTTCTTTTTGCTTATGTGGTGCTGAGGAATCGAACCCAGGGCCCTGAGCATGCAAGGCAAGCATTCTACCACTGAGCCACTCTCCCAGCCCTATATTCTTATAGTTTTGGAGAACAGAAGTCTTGGATTCAGATAGAGTCTGAACTCATAGGGCCCAAGGGGCTACACTGTGATCTCATAAGCATGATTTCTTCCTGTGTGAGGCTGATCTTGCTTTTGTTGTAAATTATCAGAGAAGCCACATTTTGAAGGATCGAATCTTGGAGTCTTTATTACACAAGTAGCAGTCTGCAGGCAGCCAGTTGTTACAAAGGCCTGTAGCCCACAAATACACAACACAGCTAGCAAACAAGCCAGAGAGGAAAGAAAGGATAAAAAGCAATACCAACAAACCAATTCAGCTCCAATGGAGAGCTGAATAGGGACACCATGTAGACAAGCCAGGAGACAGGACACAGGACACAAACACAAAAACATGTGGCATGGTGTAATGGCCTCTATGCTCCTTTGGGCCTAAATAAGGTCAGGGCAGGGGCAGGGTCACAGGACACTCTCAGTCTCAGACTGGACTGACAGGTTCAGTAACTTATCAGCCAAGTACCTGCCCCTGTCTCCAAGGACCTGGGCAGGCCCATCACCTGGGAGGCAGGGGCATCACCTTCCCCCAGCATGAAGATGAGATGCCAGACCCAACCATTCACCATATGGCCAATATGGTGCTTGACAGACCTGACCTCCCTACTTCCCTTTGTTGATACTCAATGAAAGGAGAAATCTCAAAGTCTTTATCCTAAGTGAAGAAGAATCCAGACACATATGATTTTTCATATGAAACTCTAGATAAAACTAAAAGACTACTCAATATAATACAGGCATTGTTGTACATACCTGTAATTCCAACAACTTTGGAGACTGTAGCAAGAGGATCATGAGTTCAAGGCCAGTGTGGACCATATCTTTGATAAGTCAAGGGTGCCCATTCTAAGTCCTGACCAGGGGAATAACCAAGAAAAGAATGAAAATACATAAAGAAATAGGTAAATTTGAGCTTGCTTGTAGATAACATGATCTAACATACAGAAAAGCCTGAAACTGTTAGTATTAATAAATAAATTAAATTCACCAAAGTGCCATGATGTAAAAACATACTAAAACCAGATGTATTTATATACACCAACCATAAACTATCTGAAAAGGAAGTGAGGGAAAAATCCTGTTTAAAATAATGTTAAAAAAGATAGGTGCCAGTGTCTAATGCCAAATCCTACATACTCAAGAGGCTAAAATCTGAGGGTTATGGTTGGAAGCCAACCTGGGCATAAAAATATCCCAGTCTGGTCTCCAATTAACCAGCAAAATCCCTCATGTGGAGTTATGGCTCAAGAAGTACAGAGCTTGCCTTGAGTGGAAAAGGCTAAGCAAGAAGTAGGACCTTGATTTCAAACCCCAGCACCAGAACAAAATGCAGTAACTATATCATATTTAGGGAAAAAACTACAAAACATTTTTGGAAGAAATTAAAGATGACAGAGGAATGGAAAAACATTCTGTGGTCATGGATTACAGGATTTCACATGGCTAAAAATTCCACACTATCCAGAGCAATTTGGAAGTCAACTCAATGCCTATCAAAATTTCAATGATTTAACATTTTATTTTATAATAAAAATGCTGTACAGAGGGGCTACAGTTACATGAGTAAGGTAATTAGTACATTTCTTGTCAAGCATTGTTACCTCCTCCTTTGTTTTTCTCCTACTATCCCTTCCTTTCTCCACTGCCCCTGCTCCCCCCGCCAATTTCCAACATAATGTCTTGTGAGTCTCATTGTTGCAATGGGTCATCCTGTGTCCTTATTTCAGCATTTGGTTATTCCCCTTCCCCTCCCCAAATTAGATAAATGTATATATAAGATGCAGGGTACCAAAAAAATCTAAATACAGTGACAACAGGGCATATACCATAGGGGGAAAATGACTTTTTTATTTTTAATGCGAGGAATCAGTTCTTAAATTCATGTAGAATCACAGAGGATCTAAAATTGCCAAAACAATCATGGGAGAAAGAGCAAGCAGAAGATATTATACTTCTTTTTTTAATTTTAATTTAATTTTTTTGTGAACATACTGTACAGAGGGGTTACAATTACACGGGCAAGATAATGAGTACATTTCTTATCAAGCATTGCAGCCTCCTCCTTTGTTTACCCTTCTCATCCCTTCCCAGCCCCCCCCCCCCCCTCCCCACCGAATCCTCCCCCCCATATTATACTTCTTGATTTCAAAATTTGTTGTGAAGCTATAGTAAGCAAAACAATTTGATACTGGCCAAAGACACACACACACACACACACACACACACGGGAACAGAACTTAAAACCATGAAATCCCTATTCATGTATTCAACTAATCTTCAACACAATACACAAGGAAAAGGCTGCTGATAGGAAAACTGGATATCTACGAGCAAAAGCACGATCTTTTATCTTACACTATAAAAACTGATTGACTAGATTAAGACAAACACAAGTCCTCTGAAGGAACGTGCAAAACGCTGTTATCTCATCCAGACGAGATAGGTCAGGTATAACTGACAAGCTCTCAGATTACTGTAGACAATGACATTCAACAACCACATCTTTCAGCTTTCCAGGGCCAGGAAAAGCTATTGCGCAACTACGGTGGACACAGAGGCCTATGGGAAATGTAGTCTTGCGCGTGTTTCATCGCCATTGCATCTTGGGCACGGGACTCACGCTGCTTTCTGCGCATGTGCCCCTGGTAGCTCCGCCTCCTCAGTGGGCTTCTCGGCCCCCAGCGTTGGCTGCTCGTCCGTTTTGGGGTGTGCTCGCCAAGCAGGGGCGCGCACTTGGGGTGAGAGCCCTGGGAGCAGTCCGGAGGGGGTGTGCTTGTGTTCGGCGGAAATGTTATGTGCGTTTGCCCAGCGCGCTCTTGACAGAGCCGCACGGGGCCCTGGAGGGCGGAAGGCCCTTGGAGAAGGACGGCTCCCATCTCCGGGCATCCCAGGCCGGAGCGGGTGCGGGCTGTCGTGTGCGGGGCCTGGAGCTTGGCCCGAACGCCCGGGCGCTGGGGCTGAGGTGAGGCCTCCCACCGCTCTGGAGCTGGGCAGACTCGGATCAGTTCCCGCCAGGTCATCCCGGAGCCGAGGCCCGAGTTCTCAAGGTCACGTGAGTGTGCGGGGACCACTCACCTCCCGCTGCTGTTGTGAAACGTCGATGTCGTCACCTGCGTGGCACACTGCCACGGGTGAGGTTACGACGCCCCGAGGTAATTGGCAACCGCTACTGTGTTGTTTCCTGGGCTGACGGGTGTAAACGTCACGTCACGCTGTGAGGTTGGCATTGAGTACTATCATGGAGACAGTAACTGAGGCTCAGGTGGATCGAGCTGTACTGGGCACAAGCTAAAGGTGAAGGATCTCGTGGATTCCAGGGCAGATGTGATTTGCTTCTAGTCTCAAGGCTTTCTGTTGCAACACCTGCTTCAAGCCAGCATTGTCACCCGCCCAGCCCTGAGCAGAGCTGACCTGTCCCCAAATACACAAGGATAGAATGGGAAGTGAATGCAAACGTGATCTCTCCGTGAGTCCTATGTATTCTAAGATTTTTGGTGTTACTTCAGTGTCAGGCTGAAACTGGTCTTTGGTATAAGGAATTCCAGAGTCAACATTTTGCCCCAAAATGAAATTGGTTTAGGTCCAGCTCCTTGAAATACATCTTCATCCCTTGTGAAGTAGGAAGCAGTGGCCTTGTGTACAGGAGCTTTACCTGGAAAAGAACTTCTTTACCCTTCGGCTTCTCCCCAGGGTTTCAGAACAGAGACACTAGCCCGGGAAGAAGCAGGTCCTGACCCTCAATGCCTCAAAAGACCCAGACTTAGTAACAGGTCTATCTTCAGAAGCCACTGCAGTCTGTCTGACAATAAGGGGTTTGAGTTAGCTTTAGGAATAAAAGCATGAGCTGGGAGGCCCAGGGGAGGACTAATTAATGACTTTAATTTGTGAGGGGAAATCAGCCCTCAGGTAAGGGATATGAAAAGCAGAAGTTGGCAATTCTGTTGATCTCCTTTTCTTAGACGACCCTAATCCCTCTCTTCTGTTCTCTTTGCAGATAATGTTCTGCTCACCCCGGGAGACACTAGTGATTTTATCTTGACTTTAGAAAATTCCAGAAGGAAGTTGCTTTGTTGGGTTTTCAAAGTTACCTAATTTTTTTTAACTCTGGGAAACATTAAAAACACCAAATATTAAAGGTTGAGTGACATTTCAGGGGATACTCAATTTATGACAGGAGGAAAAGAGTACAGTTCACTGTCTCACAGGTGAGCCATTAAAAAAGCTTTTTTTTTTTTTTTTGAGAAATACATTCAATTAGAGCAAACAAAAATGTTAGAGCATCTCATCTCTTTGACTAGGGATGGCTATGGATTTGTGTGTTTACCTGTGTGCGCATAAGGAGTAAACAACATTACTAAGAAAAATAAATATGATACAGAGTATTTTCCTGCTAAGTTAATTTTAAGGAAAGAATAGTGTCTGTGCTTTATTTCTTTTTTGGTGTCTGTGTTGCCTGTACTGGTTGAACTCAGGGCCTGGGCATTGCCCCTGAGTTTTTTCTCCTTAAGGCTAGTGTTCTACCTCTTCGGCCATACCTCCACATCTAGCTTTTTGGTGGTTAATTGGAGACAGGTGCCTCAGAGGCTTTCCTGCCTGGGCTGGCTTTAACAGATGTGAGCCACCAGTGCATGGCTGCAAGTGGGATTTGTGAAGTTTGAGGAGGGTTATCTAGGGGCTGTGAGGTGGGTTGATCTGATGACCTGAGTCGTCTTCTCTCTCCCTAGCCAAGCCCTCTCAATTCTGCACTCTCCAAGAGCCTGAGAAAATGAACACATCTCAGGTGAGTGCTTTATTCATTCCCCACTTTGTAATCTAATGCATTTATAAGGTTTAGAAGGGTCCATGCATTATCTGAAAATGGAAACTAGAAAGAGAACTCAAACTGAGAACTCAAACCTTTGCCTCTTGATAGACAACCTTTGCTAAGGTAAGTAGGTCCCATACACTTATCAGTTTGGCAAAACTGAAGGGTTAGTCCTGAGTGTGCATTGCATTACATTGAACACCTCCACCACTTGAGCCATAGCTCCAGTTCTAGCTTTTTTGATAGTTAATTAGAGATAAGTGTCTCAGACTTTCCTTCCCTGGCTGTCCTAGAATTGTGATCCTCAGATCTCAGTTTCTTGAGTAGCTATGGTTACAGGTGTGAGCCACTGATGCCTGGCTGAGATATATCCATTTTTAATTAATTCAGATTTAACCTGCCTCAACTCTATAAGTACTTCATATTACCCTTTTTATTATATATATTGATATGTATTGCTTATTTTGGTTAAAAAATTGCTAGGGAAAACTAAGCATAAGCACATAGACAGGAAATGTTGAACAATGATTCATTTCCTTGCTGTTGTAGTGATTTTTTTCCAGCCTTATTTCCTAGTTCTGTTTTAGTTCTTGATCAGGTCAATTGTTAATATTTTCTAGTTTCTCCATCACCTTACCATAGCTGTTCTGTCTCAGGACTAGCTTTCTCGAGTATATCTCCTGAATGTAAATGTGGTTTTGTGTAGTACTGTTCTGGCTTACCTGTACCTCTTCAGTTGTTCCTCCTTGATCCAGCAGGGATCCCCTTGGTTGGGTTGTTTGTACTATATAGAGTACTCTGCATAATGTGTTGAAAATGCATACAGGAATCCTATTCAAAATAATAATAAAATTGTAAGGCATGAAACTTCCTCAGTATGTTAAAAGGCAATATGTGAGCTGGGTACTGGTGGCTCATACTTGTAATCCTAACTACTCAGGAGGCTGAGCTCTGAGGATCATAGTTCAAAGCCAGCCTGGGCAGGAAAATCTATGAGACTCATCTCCATTTAACCAGCAAAAAGCTGGAAGTGGAGTCATGGCTCAATTGATAGAGCACTATCCCTGAGCAAAAAAGCTCAGTGACTCAGGCCCTGAGTCAGAGCTAGGACTAGCACACATATGTACACACACAGAGAGGCAATGTGTATAATTAAAAAAAAATAAAACAAATAAAAATAGAACTGTATTAAAATCGAGTTTGTGCTCACTATGTATCCCCAAACTATGAGACAGATTTAGGGCCATGATAGGTATCCTTTAGGACATTCACTTTCATCTCTCCACAGTGAGCATAGTCAATTACTTGCTGCTCCTGATTCTTAACCACCATGTTGACTAGAACTGTGTTGTCACAGGCATCAGTGTCCTTCATGGATGTGTGTGTGGACCTCACCGAGGAGGAGTGGCAGTGCCTAGGCCCCCGCGCACAGGACCCTGTACAGAGATGTGATGTTGGAGATCTACAGCCATCTCGTCTCTGTGGGTGAGCACACCATCTTCTGTGACAAAATGTATGCAATGGATTACCATCATAATTAAGGCTTGGAATATTTCCATCATCCCCCCCCCCCAAAAATACCTTGTAGCTCTTTTGGGGGAGTCCTTTCTCTCCATCAATGGTCCTGCATTCTGTGGCAATAATTTTTCTTTTTCATTTGATTTTATATAAATAGAATCATTAACTATGTATACTTGTTTTTGTGTGCCACTTCATTTTCTGGTGGTTTATTGGAGATAGATAAGAGTCTAATGGACTTTCCTGCCCAGGCTGGCTTTGAACTGCCATTCTCAGATCTCAGCCTTCTGAATAGCTAGGATTACAGGCGTGAGCCACGGTCCCCCCCCTCCCACTCCCCTACTCCTCTCTGCCAGTTCTGGTTTTTGAGAGATTAATTGGAGATAAGAGTCTCATGGGGACTTTTCTGCCTAGGCCTGCTTCAAACTGCGATCTTCAGATCTTAGCCTCCTAAGTAGCTAGGATTACAGGGATGAGCCACAGGCACCGGCTCAACATCATGCTTTTGAGGCTCTTACATATTTATGTGTATTATGAATTTATTCTTTTTCTGTTGAGCATCCTTTGTATGTGTCTGTCACAATTTGTTATTCTTTATCAACTGATAGACTTATCTGATTTCTTAGTTTGGAACTATTATGAATAAAGCTGCTATGAACTTTCACATCCAAACGTACGTGTGTGTGTGTGTGTGTGTGTGTGTGTGTGTGTGTGTGTGATTAAAAGAGAGAGCGCGTGTGTCCCAGAGCTGGTCACTTAGCTTTTTCATGCAAGGCTGGCACTCTACCACTTGAGCCACACCTCCAATTCCATCTTTTTACTTATGGGAGATAAGTGTCTCTCAGATTTGTCTGCTAGGGCTGGCTTTGGGCAGTGATTCTCACATCTCAGCCTTATGAATAGCTATGGTCCACAGGCATGAATCACTAGTGGTTGGCTCACATACAGATCCTATGTGGATTTAGCTATTTACCTAAGTCACAAAGACTGGGAGATAAGCCTTTTCTGGCATCAGGAGGACCCTTAGGATGAGCTATTTTGAAGACCTGCATGATTTCCTAATTGTTGGGCCCCTGTTAATGTTCCCTCCCACTCATACCCCTTTCTCCTGTCCATTGCTTAATCCTGATGGGTGCTCTGCTGTCTGATTGGCCACTCATCAGTCACTGCATTGAGGCATGGGTGTCATTAGGTGCACCTGAAGCACCTAAGTAAAACAAGGAGCCACAGTGCCTGTGTCAGAAAGAAATATGAGCACAGTACAACTAGGAGTTAAAGCCAGAAGGTGTCTAATAGCTCCATCTAGTGGACAAATGTGTAACAGCCATAAGAACTGTGGATCCTGCTCTAACTACTGCTTTTTGGTAGTGCCTTCTGATGTTGAAAGTTGTCCTTGTCTCTGAATGAACTGTCACCTGTCCTTCGACCTTCTTTAGGGGTGGGAAAGGACTGGTTCTTAACCTGATACCACATAGAAGAAAGTTTAAAGAAAAATCTCTTTAGAAGATGGCTTAGTGGTAGAGTGCTTGCTTAGCATGCATGAAGCCCTGGGTTTGATTCATCAGTACCACATAAACAGAAAAAGCTGGAAGGGGTGCTGTGACTCAAGTGGTAGAGGGCAAGAATTGAGTAAAAGAGGCTCAGGGACAGTGCTCGGCCCTGAGTTCAAGACCCAGGACTGGCAAGGAGGAGGAGGAGGAGGGGCGGGGAGGGGGATGGGATGGGGAGGAAAGGGAAAGAAGGAAGGAAGGAAGGAAGGAAGGAAAGAAAAAGCTCTTTGAAAGAGGTTTAGAAAGATTGACATTTAGGCTAAGTTACCTGGGGACCATTAATAGAACAAAAGTTGTGCTCCCTAGACATTGTATATGTTTGTGTGTGTGTATGTATTTAGACCTTTTAAATTGTGCTGGGTGGGGCTTGAACTTAGCCTGGTGCTCTTGGTTGGCTTTTTCCACTCAAGGCTGGCACTCTTATCACTTGAGCCGTACTTTTGGCTTTTGTTGTTGTTGCTATTGTTGGTTAATAAGAGTCTCTCAGATTTGTTTGCCTGGACTGGCTTCAAACCTAGATCTTCAGATCTCAGCCTCTGGGATGAGCCAGCCACCAACACTCAGATATTTTTATTTTTTATTGTTATTGTAAAAGTGATATACAGAGGGGTTACAGTTATATAAGTCAGATAATGAGTACATTTCTATGTATTTATTTATTTATTTTAAAAATCCTGATCAGGAAAAGATGACATACCACATAAATTAAATGTTTTTAATAAAAAAGCTAACCAGTTGTCTAGTTACATTTCTCCCCCCAAAACTTCACATAAACTCGGTAGTAACTGAATCTCTAGGCAATGTATTCAAAGTTGAGATTAACAATTAGGTGAAAAAAGAGTTCTCCGATCCAATTAAGAGTCCTGCTTCATACATAACAGGTGATCCTGGCTACTAGACTCTAGACAATATACTAAAATCCCCACTAAAAACGTTAAATTCAAGTAGCCTTTTTTCAGTTTCCAATTTGTAAATAAAGATCTCTTATTAATTCTATCAGAAACCTTGTTGTAACTTGTTTTATTTACAATGCCAACTTCTGCAAGCTTAACTAAAGTTAACTAGACAATAAACTAGGCAGAAATTGCTCGTACAGAAAGAGAGAAATCCTAAAATGCCACTTTCCACAGAGAACCCACAATTGTTTTTTTTCAGAAAAGAGAAACTTTCACTTGGACTAGAAGAAACTCAGCCAAAGTTTGGGCTGTGTATTCAAACTACACATGCAACGAGGACAATATTATGCTAATACAATTGATGTGCTGTTGCATTTGTCTACTGTTGGTCTAATATTAACAATTATAAACAGCAGTGCAACTAGTATTTGGAACAATCCTTGTAATGTTACAGTGTCAGGCACATTTCACTTCTCTTCACACCACTGGTTCTCTTTGCGTACTTGGGCTTCCTCCTCTTCAGTAAAGTCGTTCTTAAGGTTGAAAGTTTTGTGAATCTCCTCAGGAGTTTTCTCCTTAATCATATTGGCAACAGTCTTACATGTGACATCAAGCAAACCTTTGATGTCTAAGTAGTTTGCAGCCAGAATAAGTTTGAAAGGTGTTCCTTGGTCAACTTTCAGGAATTCTTGGTCCCAAAGAGAAATATCATCTGTACGCTTTTCTTTGTTCTCATCATCCTCAGTAGGAGGAGGATCATCCTTGTGGTGGGTGCACCACAGAATGACCTTGAGTTCAAGCCCTAGTACCAGCACCCATGTACACACACACACACACACACACACACACACACACACTTACATTGAGTACTTCACACTTGGGAACAGGGGAACTTTACAGCTAACTCAAGTTCTGAATTATTTCCTTTTTGCAGGGTACTGCTCTACAAAACCAGAACTGATCTTCAAGTTGGAACAAGGAGACAATCTGTGGTCATTAAATAAGAAGAACCAACTTCTAAGCCCAAATTCCCCAGGTGAGTTGTTGAATATTGCCAGAAGGTTCACTGATTCACAAAAAGTCGTATTCATGACTAAATTTAACAGGAAAGAGACAAAGGAAAATCAAAGACAAAGCCTGGGACAAGTCCACAGGAGATTACACACAAGATTCATGAGTTTTTATAGTACATACATGATTCTCCCAGCAGTGAATAAAATGAGTAAAAGGGCTGAAAATAAGAAAAAGGATTTTTGTTAATGGTAAAGACAGTTTTAAAGTGAGATGTTGTCTACTAGGAATGTTTATTATAGACTAGATAGGCAAGATTTTTATCGTGGACTGCTCACATCGGCACCTTTGGTCTAGTATCACCCTTGAAAGTCCAGACTTTTAGAGGGGAAACAGGTGTTCAGCCTAAGTCACCATATGTATACAAATAGTTTGAGCACAGTAAACTCTTCTGAGATATTTTTGAGAATTTTGGAAATCCTTTAGAAATTTTAAGTTTCTGGTTTCTATCCAAGAACACACCTGGCAAGGAGGCCTTTTAACAAGTACTTAGGTATGTTGGAATAACTCTTATCTGCACAAAACCACACAGACTCTCAGTATAATATGGAGTAAGATAGATTTGTGCATCATATAATGTAGGTGAGCTGGGTGCCAGTGGCTCACATCCATAATCCTAGACTGAGATCTGAGGATTGTGGTTCAAAGCTAACCTGGGGAAGGAAAGCCCATCAGACTCTTAACTCCAGTAAAATACTCAGCAAAGGCCAGAAGTGGTGCTGTGGCCCAAGTGGTAGAGTGCTAGCCTTGAGCCAGAGAAACTCAAAGACAGTGCCCAGGCCCTGAGTTCAAGCCCCCAGGACCAGCACACACAAAAAAAGAATGAGTAAATTGAGTCAATGGCATCCACACTGTAGAAGGAAACAAGGGGCACACTTAAAAATTATTTTAAAAATGAAAAACACAGTTATGAATGGATAAAGCAATAAATAAATAATCAGTGTTTATTTACCACTCATATTTTGGGTTCAGTTAAAATAGAAAGCAGGTAAGAGAAAGGGTATTTTATTAATGGTAAAGACAAATTTAAAGGAACAATATGAAAGGAACAAATAGTTTGAATATTTGTGTACCCACTATGCCTTTTCATGAAAACTGTAAGCATTATAAGGAAATATATGGACATATTAGATATAGTAGACTCTGCTTTTCATATCACAGACCAAAGACATCAGTTGAGACCTTAAACTGGTGCCCAGCAAACTGGTCAGTCAAATTTACCTGCTCTCTCTTGGAAAAGGAAGATTCATTGGAACACAGGTTATAGGAGAGTTAAGCAGTTGCAACAAATGCCAAAAGATCAAGCATAACCTTGATTTATTTTAGCCTTTTTACTGAAAAAAGTTTAGTGACACTGGCTGTAGAATTTGTAATATATTTTATAAAATGAATCTCTAATGTTTTTTTTTTTTTTTTGTCGGTTGTGGGGCTTGAACTCTGGGCCTGGGCGCTGTCCTTCAGCTCTTCAGCTCAAGGCGAGCGCTCTACCACTTGAGCTACAGCACCACTTCCGGTTTTCTGGTGGTTTATTGGAGATAGGAGTCTCACGGTCTCTCCTGCCCGGGCTGGCTTTGAACCTCGATCCTCAGATCTCAGCCTCCTGAGTAGCTAGGATTATAGGCGTGAGCCACCAGCGCCCGGCTCTAATGTGTTTTTTAAAACTCTGCTTGGGAAACAAAGAAAAAGTCTTAAAATGGCCATGGAATATTAATAAAATATAAAAAGTGTTTAGGTAACATGTTAGTAAATTCCACAGGAAAGGCATTGTTAACTGAAACTAAGACTATAGCTTGTGAAGAATTTAAGAGAAATTAGTTGGGTGCTGAGGCCCAAGGCTCACACCTGTAATCCTAGCTACTGAAGAGGCTAAGGTCTGAGAATTGCAGTTCACAATCAGCCTGGGCAGGAAAGTCCATGAGACTCTGATCTCTAGTTAACCTGGAAGAAGCTGGAAGTGGTGCTATGGCTCAAGTGGTAGAATGCCAACCTCTAGTGAAAAAGCTGAGAGTTTAAGGTCCTGAGTTCAAGCCCTAGTAATGGCATAAAAAAAAGGAAAATTAAAGGCCTTCCCTTGGCTTTTGAGCTACCATTTCACTGTGCAGTTCAGGCTAGTTTTGATCTGACAAGGCATATAGCCCAAGCTTATCTCGAACTTGTGACCCTCCTGCCTATACCTCCCAAGTTCTAGGATCGTAGGCATGTACATCTGTACCACCTGGAAGAGTACTCTACCACTTAAGCCATAGTTCTACTTTGGGCTTTTTGTTGTTAACTGGAGGTACTTTCTTGCCCAGGCTGGCTTCAAACTAATCCTCAGACCATCAGCCTCCTGAGTAGCTTGGATTACAGATGTAAGCCACTGGTACCTGGCTATATTCTTGTTGTCTCAGAAAAACCTAGACCTTATAGAGTTGGTTGTTATTGTTGTGACCTACTTAGTGCTTATAATCTCCATTACACTTATCATTGATTTTATTGTTCCCAGGAACCTGTTCCCAGGATCCAGCAGCTCACTTAATAAACTCTATTCTCAATTGTTCCTCTTATTTTTTCTTTGTATTCTTTTCTGTACTTAGTTTTGACAGCTGTATTTTAGGATACCAGATGTATATGCCCACCCTTACAGACATGTTATTTCTAGTTTACTTTTCTCTAGTAAAGAACAGTTTTGAAAACCCAAGGAGTATATAAGAGGTATATGTACTGCATTTTTTAAACAAAGAATTATGTATACCTTTACCTGCAATTAATTTATGGGTGGGAAGCAAGCCAGAAAACAAGAAATCAAATACATAGCAGAATGTATGTATCTAAGGCTCATTAATAATTGCATTAAGTATTATTTAATTTTCTTATTTTTAGAAGACTGCCATCCTGATATTCTTTCAGAAAAGAACCCAGAAAATCAAGGCAAACATTTATCACAAATTTTATTTAAAGCATTGACTACAGGACCAGAAATCTCTGCAAAACCATATGATCCAGACATAAACATTTTTCCTACAAGAGTGAAGCCTTATAAATGTGACACCATAGGTCCTACATATCTGGGTCTTAGCCCACTCTTCTCGCACACTCAGTGTTCAAGGGAAAAGGCATATGAGGTGAGCTTACATGAGAAACGGCTCCTTGGTAGTAAGCACTGCAGAATGAATACTGGAATGAAATCTTTTGTTTATAGTGAATATAGGGAACCCCTCAATTACATGGAGGAAGTTAATCAGCATCAAAATATTCAGAATCTGCGACAAGTTTTTAACTATAATGAAAGTAGACAAGCTCTTGAAAAGGCTTCCCTCAAGATATCTCAGAGTACCCACCCCAAACTCAAATATTGTGGATTCAATATATCTGTGGAAACCCAAAGAAATAAATCAACCATTATTGTGTCTCAGGACATTCCTCCAGAAGACAAGAGCCGTTATGAGTTAAATGAAAGCAGGAATAGTTTCAGCCAGACCACTCAGAAAACGCCAAGAACATCTTTCATCCAGAAATCATACCAGGAACAACAGAGAAATCATACTGCGGTGAAGCACTTGAAATATGGAAAAAACCTCCAGCATAATCCAGCTCTCCTGCTATATGAGAGAACTCACACCACAGATAAACCATCTGATCTTCCCATGTGTACATCCAGCTGCCAGGAAACTTGTGATGTACATCTCAGCTCTCACTTTAAGTTGAAGCCCCACGAAGGCAATGAATGTGGACAACCCCACTCTGTGGTCTTACTCCTGATTCGGCCTCAGAAAAGTCACACAGGAGACAAACCTTACGAAAGTTATGAGTCTCGGAGGGTCTTTGGTAAAAATTCATGCCTAAGTAAAGTACAGACACCTTACATTTATAAATGTGATAGCTGTGAGAAAACTTTCAAAACAAGGTCAGGCCTAAAATGGCATCAAAGAAATCACACTGGGGACAAACCTTTTAAGTGTAATGAATGTAGGAAATCCTTCATCTTTAAGTCAAACCTCATCTTACACCAGAGAACTCACACAGGGGAGAAACCCTTTATATGTGGTAAGTGTGGAAAATCTTTTGCCCACAGGTCAGGCCTAAGAAGGAACTCACACTTGGGAGAGGCCCTATCAGTGTGAGGTGTGTGAGAAAGCTTTCAAACTGAAATCAGACCTAAGCAATCATCATAGAACACATACAGGGGAGAAGCCCTACGTATGTGATGACTGTGGTAAAACTTTTGGTAGTAAGTCAGTCCTGAGAAAGCATCAGAAGATTCACACACGGGAGAAGCCATTTAAATGTAGAAAACCTGCCAGCCAGAAATCAAGCCTTAGAGAACAGAAGGTCCATACAAAGAATTAAATATACGAATGTAAAGAATACAGGAGAACTCAGCCAGAAATCAGAGCTCAACCCATAAAAGGAAGCCAGGTAGAACTGTAAGTATAGTGAACATTAGAATTCTGCACAACATTATCAAAACATCAGAAAGACAAGGTATATATAAATTTTGTTCACAAGCAATTTATTTATTTTGGGGAGGGTCTGGTCATGGGGCCTGAACTCTAGGCCTGGGCACCGTCCCTCAGCTCTTCAGCTCAAGGCTAGTGCTCTAACTTGAGCCACAGCACCACTTCTGGCTTTTTTCTTTTTGTTTTTATGGTGCTGAGGAATCGAACCCAGGGCCTCATGCATGCAAGGCAAGCACTCTACCACTGAGCCACCTTCCCAGCCCCTTGTTTCTTATTTTTTGGCAGTACCAGGGCTTGGATTTAGGGCCTCAAGCTTACTCCAGTTGCTCACTTACCTGGTACTCTGCCACTTGCGCTATGACTCCAGCCTTACTTTTTCTCATACATGTGGAGATAATTTCATGGATTCAATGCCTGTTCTGTCATTGAACTGAGATTCTCCATCCCTCAGCTCTTGAGCAGATAGGATTTTAGGTATGAGCCACCAGTGCCTGTTTTTCCTGGGTAGTCTTGGAGTGTGGATCTCATTGAATATCAGAGGACTCAACCAGCAAACAAAACTATAAAGGTAATGAATTTAAAAGATACTCTGAGAGTTCAGTCCTTGGGACATTCCTGCTGCAGAAATGCTCTAAAATGAGCAAGCAGTCACAGTAATTCATCATTTAAGTCACAAATACAAAAACTGGGATAATAAATGCAGGCACCTATAGCCAAAAGTTAACTTTCTCAGTATAGCACAAAATGCTGGTGGATAAATGGCTCACAGTTGGCCAAAACAGATGAGAAGTGAAGGTAATGGACATGAAACCCCTATCATAAGTCCACACTCAGTCTGAACTACACCAGAGTAATCGCTATATTCCACGTAACGACCATAACAATAATCAGCAATACCTATTTCCTGGCTCCATGCTACAAGCTAAAACCTCTCCATCTAACTGTCATCCAAATGGATATCAAGTTCTAGTTAGTGGAATGTGGAGGTCAGTTACACACAAGTCTCATTAGTACATTTCTCAAGTTTTTTCTCAAAAGACCAAGTAGAGATTACCCTGGAGTTCCCATACTGAGATGGAAGAGCTCGAGGTAGAAACCAGGTGCAGAGAACGGCTGTAACATGTCTCCTCACAGCTACTCAGTTGCAACTTTGTTTTTTTTTTTTTTTTTTTTGTAGCAGGAAAGTTTTGCTGAGCTTCAGGAGGTAGATATACCTGAAATTGATACAAATGTCCCACCCCCATATAATACAGCCAGTGCATATCATTTCTATAGATACCTGAATTGATCATTTCAGAAGAAACTTGCAATAGCAGCTTGGATGTCCATAGCTTTTGTCCACTGCCACCCCCTCACCCCCTTATTTCTCCTCTGATGATTTTTTTTTCAGTTGAATGTATACCCAGGAGTGGTCCATATGCTTTAAGATTTTGAGGCACCTCCATATTAGTTCTTCATAATGGCTGCATGGATTTCAACGCCCCCCTCCCTCCTTTTCATCAGGTAATTATTAGGTGGAGGGAGGTGTAAATTGATAAATTTGACAATATATGCTGAAGAAATCTTTTACTAAGAGAATTATATTAAACCAGTAAATATTTCTGATGACTGTTTTGAATGTGAAAATTTCTGCAAATCATCAAATTTTACCTCTCACAAATATGAGATGTATCCATTTGAGAAAGGTAAGTAATTATTTCCCTGCTAGAAATTTTATACCAAAACTTGTTTCCTGTGTATTAGAGAAACATATAGTGAAATGCACAGTATTGATTCAGATATTCACTAGAACTTACTAGAATAGCCTGAAATAAAATCACATAAACTGACCATACCAAATATGTGTGTTTTCTGAGTTGTCTGTTTAGCTACATATGGAATTGTTATCTGAAAGTTCGCCATGTCATACACATTTTCTTGTCTTGCTGTCCTCTAACATAAATCTCCCCTCCCCGCTTTTCAGAAATGCCAGTATTTTCTTTATACTTATATATTACTATGTATTTTGATTAACTTATTAAATGGGAAGATATTGTCTGTATCATCTTTATTGACTTTTTTGTCAGTCGTGGGTGGGGCTGGAACTCTGGTCCTGGACGCTGTCCCTCAGCTCTTCAGCTCAAGGCTAGCACCTTAGCCACAGCTCCACTTCTGGCATTTTCTGTTTATGTGGTGCTGAGGAATTGAAAGGACCTCATGCATGCAAGACAAACACTCTATCACTGAGCCACCCTCCCATCCCCTGAATGTTTTATTTTCTTCTTTTTGGCGTTATAAGTGTTCCTGGTTCCCAATTTGGCCTTAAGTAACCCAAACTCCAACCCAGTACCTCCCTTTCTAACAATCCAACACCAGCCCACATTTAGCCACCATTTAGCTCAGCATTTTCAGCTCTGAGCCTTAGTTTCCTCATTATTTACTTAAGAGGTTCCTGAGATATTCCCATCCCTCTCCTCCCCTGCTATTTTGGTTTTGCTCCTTTGGTTGTGTGCAGACTGCAGCTGTATGCTGCACTTTCACCAAGGGCAGAAAGTCCCCTGGTGGCCAAGGAAGATCCTGGAGTCCATGGGCTAGGGAAAGACAGAAGATTTACAGAGAACAGGAAGTTCTATTCCTCCTCAAGGATTTTACCCTTACTAGCACCCTGGGTATTGATCTAGAAGGTGCCCAACTCATCTGGGAAGCAGAATATTGCTCCTGAATCAGTCACTAGACTTATCCCCTTCGAAAAATGTGCCAGAATTTGCATGACGCACCTGTTTCCATTTTAACCACCAATTTGGGACAAATTGACAGAACTTTTGCCATGTTGATTCTTTCAGTGTGAATATTGTCTTACTCAGTTTTAGGGATCCTCAATAAAATTATGCACTTCTACTCATGAATGGATTTGATATCTTTGGATTCATCCCTAGTTAATTGTTATGTAGTGTAATGTTATTTAGTGTAATTATAAATTGTAATCTCAAATACTTTTCATTTGTGGCTATAGATAGTGACTGAACAGTTGAAATTAGACCTATATGTCATCTATATGAAATTTGTATTTCTATATTTCATCTATATGAAATTAGATCTATGTTATTCTATTAGTATGTCTCAGTTTTGTTAGGTTCACTATGTACTCTTAAATATATCACCTGTGTTCAGTGACAGTGTTGATGAAATGTTTTCAATTCTTGCATCTTTTCTTTGCCTTGCTGTGCTCTTCCTGCTAGTATTCCCGTAAATGGTGCACTTGCAGACAGGGCAAGGGACATGCCTTATTACAAAAAGAACTTAAACATTTCAGTACAAAACATGCATGTTTGTATATTTCCCTCAAGATTTTCTCACCAAATTGTTTTTCTATTATTGTAAATGGAATTTTTTAAAAAAGTCATTGAATATTAAAATTAAATAGTAGGTATTCAGTTTTTTTTTACATCTTTGGTATCTTTTCCTTTCAGTATTGCAAACTATGTAGATTTCTTCTAATGTTCGTGAGTCTTGCATTCTTGGAATGAACAAACCGGACTTGTCCATTCTGTATTGTAAGCACAATGGATTCAGTGCAAGGTGGAATGAGGAACACATTTCAGTAGCAGGAACTTCCAACTTAGACACAGGTAGTATTAATATGTAGTATACCAGCCATTCCGCTATTCACAAGGCATATAGTCAATATCTGGGCTGGTAAATAAGCAGTTTAAATGAAGTGTAAAGTGGCTAGGGATGTTGTGTGCAATTGGTCTAGTATATGTGAGGCTCTGGATTTAGTACCCAGCATCCCTTCCTCCATATTCTCAAACACACAGGCACACAGCACTATGATAGTTGCTACAAGAGTCCAAGATAAGAATACTATGTGTGTAATGTTCTCTTTAGTATTCTGAATCAGCGCTTGATTAGTTTCCTGGTTTCAGCATACCACCTCTTTCTGGAAACCCCAACATACTCAATGCAACTCCACTTCTATATTCTAGTATCTGAATTCACTTCCTGATGGCTAATGACATAACCATTACATGTAAAATTTTATGCCCAGTAGTTAGCCTTATAAAAGCTTCCATTTATTGGCTTCTCATATACATAATACATTTTGTATTTCCATATGTATAAATTGAAAACTGATACCCTCAAGCACATTCATTCTAGTCTTTTCTATATTTTCTTCTATGATTTTAGTTGGAAAATTAGTTTCCATTAGCCATAAACAGTTTCTTCTTTGCTAATTTCTAGAAAGCTTATCACAGAGTTTCATGACAGCTAATTCATACTTACTTCAGTGCTCTGGCACATCCTTAGTCTGTTTCTGACATGGTTAAGGCAACATTGGATTCAGCAATGAGTTTGCCTGAGGAAGTCGCCTTTTATACAGGCCAGTGACTTCAGAGCCCCTTAAACCTGAAACCTTGAATTTCAGACTACTCACCTCTGAGGGAATGTGCAGTGCCTCCTGTTAGCTTCTTCAAGAGAACTGACTGATGATCTGAAACAAGAAGGGTGAATCAGCTGGGCTGCAGTAATTCTAGCTACTGAGGAGGCTGAGACCTGAGGATCCCCATTTGAAGCCAGGCTAGGCAGACCAGTCCCAGGGCAGACTTTTCAATGAGACAGCAAAAAGCTGGAAGTGATGTGGAGAAAGTGGTAGATTGCTGGCCTTGAGTGAAAAGGCAGAGCAAGGGCAAGAAACCCAGATTTTAAGCCCCAGTAATGGCACATTAAATTTAAAAAGTGAGATTTATATACCTTCCGTTCCACAGTAGAACCAACTTTTGGATTCCTAGAGGGCAATATAATCCTTGGTTTAGGGTTATAATGACTGAGCTGTATCCAATGAAACATTTGAGGAAAGTTTCTAATGTCTTCCTCAGTGATTAAATACTCACATTTTGTAAAACCAGCACTTCTGTTCCATTGCTGCCATTCATTTGAAATAGTAGGCAATTTGTGCTTTTAACCCAGTGCTTGAGAAATTCTCAAGTTCAATAAATCTCAAACAGGCCTGGGAGGGTGGCTTAGTGGTAGACTGCATGCCTAGCATGCACAAAGCCCTGGGTTTGATTCCTCAGAACCACATACACACAGAAAAAGCTGGAAGTGGCACTGTGGCTCAAGTGGTACAGTGCTAACCTTGAGCAAAAGCAGCTCAGGGACAGTGCCCAGGCTCTGAGTTCAAGCCCCAGGACTGGCAAAAAATAAAAATAAAAATAAATCCCAAACACAGTTCCTGAAGCTCCAGGAGTTACTCAAATGTCTTGACACCTGCCCTAGTCTTCCTGTGGTGATGGGCTGTGGAATCCTTAGGAAGATCAACTCCACACCTGCCTCAAGGGGAAGATCTTAGGGTGAACAAAAGTTGAGCTATTTGGTGTGTTAAGGATGAGACATGTGAGGAAGAGAGTCTGCTTACTCTCTGTCCCCTAACTCAACCTTTCTCTGGATTGGTACCTCTTTTTGTCACTAAGAGCTGCCTAAACCTCAGAGGCAGCTGCCTCCATCTCTGCTGCAAGGTTGAAGCACCAGATCCTTGGGCCTGCTCATAAACTTTATGTCTCCTTTATGCTCAGGGCTCTCAGGCCAGGAAAGATTCCAGGAGATGAAATATTCTTCCTATTTTGTACCCAGTTCCTGGTTACTCAGAGGAACCATCCCTCTCTGTTGCTCTAGGTGATGGATGAGCTTAATGGACAGAGTTGGCCTCTAACCTGGGATATTTGGGGAGTGTATCTGTTTCATTGGTGTGCCTATCCAGCCAGTACTAAAGAGTTTTGGTAGCTGTAATCCTAGTTCCTTAGGAGGCTGAGATTTGTGAATTATGGCTTGAAGCCAGCTCCAGCAGATAAGTCAATGAGACTCCTATGTCCAATTAACCAGCCAAAAGCAGAAAGAAGAACTGTGGCTCAAGTGGTAGATCACCAGCCTAGGGTGAAAAAGACGAGACAGCTAGCAAACACTGAGTTGAAGTTGCAGTACCAATACACACACAAAAGTTATTATTTAAATACAATATAGTTGATGAATGCCTACATTCAGCAAAGAGAAACAGATCAAATTCTGGGATTCCTTAATATTTTGAAACTTGTAGACAACTACAATTCTCAGGACAGAAAGTTAAATCACATTTCAAGGAACTCAAGCCAGATGGACTTGCTTGGCTGATTAGAAAATATGAATTCAAGATACCCAAGATGTGGAGATAGTTCATATGCCCAACAATGGATGAGTGGATCAAGAAAATATGTTACATATATACAAAGGAATTTTACTCGGCTATCAGAAAGAATAATACTATTCTATTTGCAGGAAGCTGGACGGACCTAGGAAAATTATGTTAAGTGAAATCAGTCAGGCTCAGACAAACAGTGCATGCTTTCTCCCATATGTGGAAGTTAGGTCTGATATACATACGTGTAACATATACAGGGTTATATGCATATACACCCAAACAAACTGACTTAAGGACAGTATACTTAGGGGAGGAGTAGAGTGGAACTTCTTTTA